CCCATCTGAGAACAGTGGTGATACTCTACCCACTGAAGACGAAGCATTCAAGGAGGTTAAACGGGGTAAAACTGTTATGAAAGCAATAATACGAGCTCGAGCAGCTGGTCGTAAATTACCTATAAATTAGAATGGTAGGGCTCAATTAGTTAAGTCTCCTCAGTTGGCCAGTTACATAGGGATCTTAGCTGGTCATTATGTTCCCTGTTGCATTGCAGACTAGGGAAAGAAAAATGACCCACAGCTTGAAGAAGCAAAAAATAATATATGGGAAGATTTGTGTATATCTTTTGACCTGGATGAGAGTCATAGGCATTATATCATGAGAAAAGTAGTGTATGCTCATATAAAGTTTCGAGCTACCCTCACAACATATCATCTAAAAGATGCAAATGAAGAATTCAATCCTCATCCTCCTAAAATGTATCCAGAGATCCAGCAAGAGCATTGGGATGAATTTATTACTCCTTTTCAATATAAAGCAGGAAGATAGAGCTATCCAGATATTGAATGTAGTTTGGTAAGTTTTAATTAATATCGTCTGTTGATATTACTTATATATATAAGGAAATATTTTTTTAATTATTCTAATATCTTCTTTAAATAGAGGGAAGAAATTGGACCTAATGCTCTAATTTCTCGAGCTCTTGTTTGAAAGACTGCTTGAGAAGATAAAGAAGGCAAATTACCTAATGAATGCACTCGAAAAGTCTGGGAGGATTGTATGAGTATTAATATTTTAGTGTATTACTTTATTTACATTATTTACTTAATAATTAGTTTACAATTTGTTCAACAGGAAGCATTATCATAATCAATATCACAAGATGATGTGGGGGAGCATGTGGATGTCCTTGGTAGGGCATTGGGAGCTCCAGAGGTCTCTAGTCGTGTTAGAGGAGTCGGATGGCATTTTTCAGGGCAGCTACTTTGGACGTCGGTCTAAAAGTTTTACTGAAGATGATTTTAATGCAAAGATGGTAGAAATGGAGGCGAGAATGGAAAAAAAAAATTTCAAGCTCAAATGGAAAAGAGAATTGAGCAAATGATTAGAGTTATAAATGTGTCACAAGGTAGCCCTAGTGATAAAGATAGTTACTCCTTCCTTACTAAAGAAGACTTTCCTAAGGTTATAATTTTTCTTTCTATTATCTTCTCTTTATTCACAAATTATGTTTCACATTTTTTTAAAATATTAATTTTTAATTTTTAGGGCGAGTTTCAATGTCAATTATGGTTAGAATTACTACATTGTCGTGTTGTGGCACTCGGATTTGTGTATAATGACAATAGTGTTACTATACACTCCAGATCGTTGCCTGCTAATCACTTAAAGGTGACTATAACTATTCTAATAGAAAATGATGCTGAGTTGCTAGTGCAAATAGAAGATGAGGATATATTCACAATTTTTGATGCCGTTAGAACTTATGTGGCTTGGCTTTCAAAGCTCATTAAGTTACAGGTATAATAATTGATAGTTCTTTAAAATTATTCATGTTTTCTTACGGCCTTACCAATCCATTTTACATCTTGTAGTCCTTAAAATTTAAAGAAGTTATAAAGAAGCCAATCAAAGTAAAGGGAAAGCCATCAAAAGGATCTACCTCTGTGACTAAGGCAGGGAAGACCAGTACGGAATCTACTCAGTTGAAATATCCTCATCAAAATGCACTTGAAGTAATTATACGGATAACATTTAAAAATGAGATCCGTGAAGTAGAATTTAAAAAGGAGATTTATGGTGAAATAATTAGCGAAAATTAGCAGCTGAAAATATTAACGAGATTCTGACCAAAGATTGGCTACAAACCACACAAATTAGTTTATACATTAGGTACTTTCTCAATTTTATTACTTATTGTGGTATTTATTTAATTTTAGTTGTGAATGATTCTATTTGTTTTCATTTTAGGTACTTATATCATACTTTTGTGGTGCCGGGCTCATTGATAACAAAATTTTCATTTATTAGCCCGCACAACACTAGTACCTATAGTGTTGAGTACCATTCTCAAAAGATTACTGATGCATTCAAAGCCAAAGGCAAACGAAACATGTTATTTTTAGCCCCTCACAATTCAGGGTAAATTGTTATTATTGTTTATTTTTAACTTTAGTTGATATTTTAGTTAATGAAATATTTTATTTTTTCAGGCAACATTGGTGCTTGTTTGTATCAATCCATTCGTCCCTGTGATTTATTATCTTGATTTATTAAGAGATAGTGACTTTAAGAACTACAAATCTATGAGGATATTATTTAATTGGTAAGTTTTTAGTTCTATATTCTTTATATATGTTTATCATAACAATTAATTTTTACTTGGTATGCTTAATCATTATATAATAGGGCTGTAGCACGTTATCGAGGAGGTAAAGGTCTCCCTCCAAACACCAAAAGACCTGATCCTGTTGAGTTTTATTCATGAAAAAGAATAAAGGTTTGTATTATTTTCTTAATAAAAAAAGTTGGTATATATCTAAATGATTGTTTGATTGATATTTTATGTTTGTTATTCTCAATATGTTATTCTGGATTGATGTAGAATTTTTGAAAAATTCTGAAACTTCCAAGTTATAGGGGAGACTTTGCCGGATTTTTGACAGCAAATACTTATATCATATATATAACTTCATCACTGAAGTATTTTAAATTAAGTTAGAATTTATTTCTACCATATAAATGACATCTTTTATTGTTTTATAGGTACCTACACAATTACAAGGTTGGGAGTGTGGATACTATGTTATGAAGTTTATGAGAGAAGTAATCACACAATAAGTGTTGATCATTCCTGAAAATGTAAGTTAAAAGCTTTGAAATTAAGTAATATAATGTTAATTACTTATATATTACTTTTATATCTTGTGTAGTATTTTGTTGGAGCAAGATATTCGCATTTTACTATGAAGCAAATAGAAGATTTAGTTGAAGAATGGTTAAAATATATTATTGATTGTTTGTGATAGGAAGTTAGATTTCAATGTTAAAAAAATGACAATAGTTTCATTTGTTAGGCTTGTTAGAAATTAAACTAGGTTAGTTAGAAAATTGAAATTGTTGTATCAGTTTTAAATTTTTTTCTTGTATATAAATTTTTATGTTGATATTATTTTTAAATTAGTTTTTGATATTATGAATTGCCATTGTTAAAGATATTTAAAAGGAAAAATTTAAAAAATTTAATTTTAAAAAATAAATATAATATACGAGAGCGCTCATTTAAAGAGCGCTCTTGTAAAGTAACTTACGGGAGCACTCTTTAAAAGAGCACTCTGGTAAGTTGTCAGCATACGGGAGCGTTCCTATAAAGAGTGTTCATGTATAGGGGCATACAAGAGCGCTCTTCTAAAGAGCGCTCCGGTAAGGTGTTAGCATACGGGAGTGCTCCTATAGAGAGCACTCCCGTATGCATCATACAGGAGCGCTCTTATATAGAGCGCTCCTGTACATGACATGTGCTTTTAGAAATTGCAGCACTCTTACGGAAGCGCTTTTCTAAAAGCGCTCCTATATAGGGTACTTACAAGAGCGCTTTTTTAAGCGCTCCTGTACATTTCGGAGCGCTCGATATGTGAGCGCTTCAAAAGCGCTCCCTAAGTAAAAAAAAAAAAAGTACTCCTGTAAACTTATTTTGTAGTAGTGAAAGGAGTGCATAAAGGAAGTAAGATTTATTGGAGCAACGATGAAGCTTCCCCTTAACCTTCTCTTTCCGCTAGAAGATGCACCTTTTTTAAAGTAGTATGTTCCATGATGTCAACATAAGTCTTCTTCCTATCTTTGAGTATTTGATTTTCAAATCATCTAGAATCCTAGAGATGAGAGATCTATACAGTAGAGATATCCTAGCCCTTTTATGATCCAGAGAGACTAAAAATTTCATCTTCTCAAAGATAATTGCAACTATATTGATCTTTATCCCCTTAATCATGGCAGTCATATAGATATAGTATTCCTAATTCAAAGCATTGAATCTAATTTGCTTCCCCAAGATGACTCAAGTTAAGATATGATTAAGAATCTTGTGGAGCATAGGCATAATAGCTGGCTTGGTCATAGGTGGATCAATTGGCTCCTAGTTAGGTGCTAAAGTCTTTTGCGTTATTGGCTTGGTGAAGTTGATGTTAGATAATATGAAAATTAACCCATCAGTAGGCAAATCCAATATCTTGATTAGTATAGTGACCCAGAATTTAATTGATATTAAAGTTTATAAAAAGGTATTTCAAATGTATTTATATCAATTTTGTAACAAATGTGATAAGGTGGTGCTAGCGTTATGGCAACTTGCTTGGTGGCTGCCCATTTGTTGTAGGTTCGAATCCTCAAGGGAGAGTTAGGTTTTATTTTTGTCTTAACTTATGTGAAATTACAAAAATGCCCTCTACTTAACCATCAGATATTTTCCTTCCCTCTTCTTTTCCAATCAGTCTCACATTTATCTAAGGGAGAGGCAGAGAATATATTTCGAGAAGCTTTAAGTCTAGTTCACCATCTTCCTCTGTCTGCTGTCATCAATATCGAAGTGGGTGTGCCGGTGGTTGCTGTTTGTTCCCTCTGTCCAACGTCGATCCTCATCTTCCCTTTGTCCACCGCGTCTCCTCATCTGGTCTTCATCTGCTGTGATAGTTGATGTAAGATCTCCTTCAAACAGCAACGTTGCCCTGTTCTTGGGTGGTCTGGTGACGTCGCTGTTTTGGTGGCCATGGGATGCTCCACTCTTTCCTTTTCTTCTTATGCTTCGTGTGATTTCTTCTCCTTCCTGCTCGCTCTCCATCTTTGTCTGTCTTCCTTCAGCGTTCACGTTTGGGTTATGGATGGGTGAGGAGCACAGTTGTCGGAGCTATTGGCAGTGCCATCGCTAGCTTCGACTGGTGCTGTTGATCCAGTTTCTTTCGTTTATTGCGTGCTGCATCAGTTTTGCCTCTCCCCTGCTCAACCATCTAAATCATCTCCTTCTCATTGCTCTATGCCATGGAGATCTAAGGTCAAGCACTTCAAATCTTTCTCATTTCTTTTTCTTTTTCTTGTGTCAAATCTCTATTTATGATTAGTACTGGTAATAGTTTTTGATTCCCTTTTCTTGTTCAGTTGTTGGCTGTACCGTTGAAGATGATTTAAGTTTATTTTCTTGAGTTAAATTCATTTCTTTATATTAGAGGAATGGAGATTAGGAGATTGATTGATTAAAATTACTTATTGTAAAATTTTGGAGGTTGGAAAGGAAGAAGGAGTAGTTTGGTTTAGAAAAAAAAAATTCGCACATAAAGGTGCCTGACAAAATGATTGTTAGTAAAGTGAAATTGAAGAGGATGAGATTAGTATTAGCTATATAATTAATGCCCATGAGTATTGGATGAAATTCCTACTAGGAGAACTTTGTTGATTCTTCATTTTTTGAAAATTTCATTGATCCTGAATTTTTATAGGGATGTTGTCATTATGACATTAATAATGTGATTATTTGAATTCTTGAAAATGGATAGTTTGTTGAAATATATATATATATATATATATATTTAATTGGATGCTAGAGTTTTTATGAATGGATTGGAAATGATGTATATTTGGTGGTTTGATAAAATGTTAATGATGAAAAAAAAATTTGTGTAAAGCTTCAGTTCTAAAGTTTGAAATTTACTAGAGTTTAATTTTGTTAAGGATGATGTTAAAAAGGAACTATTGTATTGTTTGAAGGTTTAATAAAAATCTTAATATGATATATAAGGTATTTGGAAAATGAGTTTGATTGAAGCTGCAAGAGGTGAAATTTTATCTCTTGAGAATTTCAGGTAAGTAAATAGCGTTCCAACTAATTTTTTTTAATCAAAATTTCATTTACTAAAATATTATATTTTTCTAAAAATCATTTTATAGCATTAATGCGATTATTGCATATTTGTTGATTAACATTACTTTATTTTGAGAAATTAGCTTTACCAAATTTGAAATATTATTTGATCAATTAAATCAAGTTTGAACTTTGATTGAGAGATTTTTATTCTATTAAATATTGGATAGATATAGAGAATGATTCATGTGAATTCGAAGTTGAAAATTTTTTTTATTCAATAAATGCAAGCATGAGCATTGGATATGAAATTTGATTCTGGCAAGTTCTAAAACTTAAAAGTATTCATGCGAGTTTGATTTTGAGAATGAGAACTGTATTTTGAAAGTGATGATTTTCTCGCATGTCTGAAAATAATTTTAAAAAGAGACTTTATATAGAACACTGGTTGCTAATGGCAGTTCCGTTAGCCCTTGGCGCGTCATGGTACACCTAGCTAGCATGGTGCTTATAGGAGGTGCTAACCCCGTGCGATGGCCAACGCATGTGGAATGGAAGGATGGTTATTCATGGGCTTTGTACCCGTGTTTGTTTTGTGGCTTCAAGCTGCGTTTGGTTAGAATTATCTTCGTGGACTGTGTGTCCATGTTTGTTTCATGGCTTCGGCTACGTTTGGTTACATATGTCCATGTTTGTTTTCGTGGCATAAGCCACGTTTGGTTAGTTACCCTCATGGACTGTGTGTCCATGTTTGTAAATTATTCTGATAAGTCTCAATAATTATGAACTTAATCATTTGATGATTTCATATTCTATTGGTTTTTAGTTAGTAATTTGTTTACAAATATTTATTTCATTTATGTGCTTTCTTAAAGTCAAGTGAAATTATCATTTACTATGATAGTTTAATGATTTGAGATTTTATTTAAAATTTTATAGAGCCATTTTATTATGAAGTTTATTAAATTTTTATAGAAATTGTTGTCTCTTTAACTTACATAACTATTCCAAACTTTTCATTTTATTTATTGTTGGGACGTTATTCACTAAAAAATTATTTTTGTCTCAGATGCCTTAGTTGACGTTGATCTTGCTATCAACCTTGAGCATTTATAGACAGGTGAAGGATTGATTGAAATTTTTATTTTGATGTAATTATTAATGTTTATATATCTTAGTTTTATTTTATTTTTGAAAAGTACAATTAGGTGCTCCACATAAGCTATAATCAGGACTTTTATTTTTATAGATATACTGTCTGTCGACTGGAAGGAGCTAAGCTCCTCGTTTATTTGACTTTTTGACTGCGTCAATGTATTGTAAAAATTTTGGGGAGATCACATTTATAGGGGGAGGTTCTGTCAAAATTTTTACGAACACGTTGAAAATTGGTTATAATTATTAGTGTCAAAAGTGTTATAATTTCAAAATAAATCTGATTTCATTTAAGAAATAGAATGAACTTATGATTTAAGGCTTAGAAGGAGGTGTGAAATGGTTCATCTCTCGTGCCAGTCACTCTCCAAGTTTTAGGGCGTGACAATTAGATAGCCCTCCATAAACATGATCGAGTGAGCTAATCAAGAGGTTAATTGGTTGTTTTAGATGAGGAGATTTAGTCGAGAGGTTGAGTTCATAAAGCTTTTGAGAGGAATTTGGAAAGACTAAGAGATCTAAAAAGATTTGTCAGGTGCAAAGTGTTTATGGTTACCTCATAATAGGTGAGAGTAGGAGAAAATGAATTGAGAATATAAGTAAATAGCTTATTTTGAATAAGTTACCTTTTAATCCAATTTAACCAACTAGTCGTCAAGGAATTTAAGAGACAGATTTTAAAATTTTAACTCCAAATAGTAGTAGTAGTAGTACCAGCAGCAGCAACAACAACAGTAGTAGTGAAGTATTAATGGTAGTGGTAGTGATGGTAGTGGTAGTAGTTGTGGTGGTGGTGGTAATAGTGGTACTCATAGTAGTAGTAGTAGGAGCAACAGCAACAGGAGTGGTGGTGGTGGTAATAGTCGTACTAGGTGGTGGTGGTGGTCAAAATAGTAGTAGAAGTAGTTGTAGCAATAGCAGCAACACAGCAGTGGCAAGAGTAGCACTACTAGTAGCAATAGCAGTAATAGTAATAGTAGCAGTAGTAGCAATAGCAGTAGCAACAGTAGTAGCAGCAGCAGTAGCATTAGCAGTAGCAGCAGTAACAGGAGTATTAAAAGCAACAGCGATAGTAGCACTAGTAGTAGTAGTAGTAGGAGGAGCAGTAACAACAGTAGCAGTAGGAGGAGCACCAGTAGTAGTAGGAGGAGGAGCAATGGAGCAGCAGCAGTAGAAATAAGAGTAGTATTTGGAGCAGAAGTAGTAGCAGTAAGAGTAGTAGTAGGAGCAGTAGTAGCAGCAACAATAGTACCAACAGCAGCAATAGTCATAGTAGTAGTAGCAGTAGCAGCAGTAACAATAGCAAGAGTAGGAGTAGCAGCAGGAGCAAGAACAGTAGGAGCAATGGTAGTGGTAGTGATAGTGGTAGTAATGGTGGTGGTAGTAGTAGTGGTGGTGGTAGTTTGCAAAGTAGCTTGCCTCCTTCCAAATAACTTATTCCAAAGTAGGAGCCTTTATTTTAGAATAGTATTTTAGAATAGCTATGTCTTGTTTGAAGGTGAATGAGCTATTTCCCAATAGTTTCCTCATGAGCTTTTCTTTAACGTCCTTCCTTATTATGGAATAATTCCTTTACTCTGCAATAATCTCCACTATTCCTGAATATGTTGTTTATTTCAAAATAAGCACTTTTAAGCTTACAGACACTTATAAAACAAGTTAATTATGATATAAACTTGTTATTCTGAAATATACTGATGGAGTCTTGAAAAAACAACTTAAAACACTTTGAAGCTTAAGTTAAATTTTTATTGAAATTGAAAAGCATAATCTCAAGTTGAGTTAGAAATATTTACAGTTTATTAGGATTTAATAAATCTAATTCTCTCCTTATATATATGAATTGCTTAATTGCCAATGGTTTGGTGAAAATGTCTACTAGTTGAAATTCTATAGGGATGAGCTCCACCATCACATCTTTCTTTTATATATAATCTATGGTAAAGTAATGTCTGATATTGATATGCTTTTGTTCTTGAATATTGTACTAGATTCTTTCTCAAGCATATTGTACTTGTGCTGTCACAGTTGATTGAAAAATTCTTTGAGTTTTATCCCAAAGCCTTTAATTTGCTGCTTCATCCAAAGGATTTGAGAACAACATAACCTAGCAGCAATGTACTCTGACTTGTAGTGAGATATAAGAGTGACCCGATCATTCCTCTATATGATTTATAGTCATACTCTATTCATGTTGCATCATCATCTATTTTGATAGAGGAACTCATGTGAGCCTTTATTCCATTTACTTAATCCATTCCAAACCTCTTAAGCATCTCCCTCTAACATTTGGTTTGACAAATAAAGATTCCTTCTTTTCTTTGTTTGATTTGTAAACCTAAGAAGAAATTCAGCTCTCTCATCATTGACATTTCAAGTTCTCCCTACAATGACTCAAAAATTCCTTACACAAAGAATGGTCAATAGCATCAAATATTATATCATCTATATAGATTTCAACAATGAGTAGATGATCTATTTTTTTTCTTAATGAACAAAGTAGTGTCAACTTTTTCTTAATACACAAAGTTTGTCTTAATACATATATAGGTCAATTTGTTGAAGAATTTTGTGCAACTAACATTTATTAGGAATAAAGATGCAAATCATAGAAATTCTTAACCAATAATTTTAATGATATAACTTATTTTTATTGGTTCGAATTAATGAATTTTTTGTGTGCCAAAAGTAACAATTTTATTAATAGAAATCTCAATTATAACAAAACAAGACTCATCGAACCCCAAACAAAAGAAAAATCGAAAGACCCGAAAGAATTATTGGCATTTCCCTGCAAATCAAGAGGCTATATTTGATGTATTAGACCTCAAAAGTCAAAATCAGACTCTAAGCTAGTAAACCTCCGCGGATCTTGGGTCAAAATAATATATCTATATATATAACAGTAGAATAACAAATATAGCTACAATGATGATAAATGCCTATTTTTTCCTTTCCTATAATTTTTTGCTGCCACGTGAGATTTAGTTTTTAATTTTCTTTTAAGTTTTTTATTAAATTTTTTTATAATATAACTTTTCTTTCATGACCTCAAAATCTCAAATATAATTTTCTATTTTATTTAAAATTTAAAATTTTAATTTAAAAAATCTTAAATATATCTAGATAAATAATACTTATTCCTATTTAAATTATTATTTTAAAAATTAATAAAAATTATTTTCCTTTATCTTCGATATTCTTTTCTATGATCTTAAATATAACTTCCCAAATACTATCATTTTGTGAATAATAATTTAAATAATTTTCTTGAAAAATTAAATCATTTAAATAGACAAATTAAAATTAAATTAAATAATAAATTAAAACTTTTATACCAATGTTCTTATAATCATGTGAATTAATAAAATATTTACATTAAATTCTATTTATATTTTTAATTAACTGAATTCTCATTTATAATTTAATTAAATATATATGATTTATGAATTAAGAAATTATTGGATAACTATATATTTTTTATATATAAAAATTAGAATTGCAATCAATATGATGATGTCACATGTTCTTCATGCCTAGATTATTTAATTTAATTTATTCATAATTTTAAATTTTTTAAAAGTAAAACTATAAGCAGTATAATGATGCCACATAATATTCATAATTTTAAATATTCAAATTTAAAATTACAAAATGACCCCACTCCAGTTCTAACTTTCCATTATACACTGCAAGTCTAGCCTTCATTTAAAAAAAATTTGTTATTATAATAATTACAATATATCTAAAACGAACCAAACCACTTCCTCTTATATTTTATTTCTCTCTCCCCTTTATTTCGATTTACTATAATCTTTTACTTTTTATAATATAAATATATATAGTCTTTTCTCCCATGATGTCTACCATTATCATAACTTCCACATTAACATTGATTTTTTTATAAATATTTTATTGAAATATCTCTAAAAATTATAGAAACTACTTTCCTTTATCCCTTATTTTCTCTCCCGCTATTTTAACTCCTTTATTTTATTTTATTTATAATATTTTTTATTATCTTTCCTATTATTATAACTTCATATTCTTTTATTTTAAATTTTAAATTTTAATTTTTAAAATATTGAAAACCTTCACATATTGTTTTATCTCTAATTTTTTCCCCCATGATATCTCACATTATCAATATAACATCCTATCATTTTATTTTAAATTTTAAAATTTTAAAAAACTTTCACGAATTATAAACTCTCTACTCATGTTAACAAAAAATCGTATTGTTTCGATATATTTCTCTACTCACTGCCTCCTTGAATCCCATGCTTGTAGTCTTCTCCTTCTCCTTTTAAGCATTCAATATAACGTAAGCATAAAATATCCACTGCCAGCAAGGTCTAATATGTGAAGTCATTGTCACCTCATCCCCTCCTTGGCTCCTTAGGTCATTAATTCATTTTCTTCATTCTCTAGAAAAAAAGTTTGATTCATATCTTTTCATATAATTTTCTATATCTTTCTCACATCTAATCTAATGAGGCTGTGTTGGGGCTCTGACGCATTAATTTTGTTCTCTACTTGGCCACTTTGAGATCAAGCATGGCCGTATGAATTTTCTATAAAATAAATGTCTTATATATTTTTTTGACCATTCATTGATAGATATGGTTATATGATCCAAGCTTTTATATTGTTTTGTTTACTTGGAAACTAACAAAGGTTCAAATGTAAAGGAGAGGTAAGCTACAACAATTGGTGCACAAAATTACTACTTTTCATTAAATTGGAAGTGTTTTGGGCACAACTAATGGCATCATGTTTCTAATTTAAGCTCGGGGAATGATAGCCTGTTAAGAGAGTTCACCTCTTTTTTTCTGTGATTTTATTATTTGCGATTAATCATGCTTCTTAGTTTCCTCCTTCTATAATTCATCCTTCATACTAATTATCTTATAAAGGACTTGATATTATTTTATATTATTCCTTTTAAGAGACGATATAATTTTCAAAATTTTGTTTTATATAATTGAATGCTACTTAAGGGTGTATTTAGCATGGTTTTTAAATTCCAATGCACTAACTTTGGGTTATTCTTATAGTTCTTCTCTTGAGCTTTGGTCTAAAGTGTTTTGGTTTGATTTTAGAGTTAGATCACATTTATGCAATTATGATATTTATAATTTCCCTTCATTATGTTACATAAAATATGATGCCATATCAACATAATTTTGCTTACACACTTGGTTGTTGAAGCTGTTGAAGTTGAGTTTATTTCAAAAAGGAAAAGTAAAATGAAGGTTTATTTTCTTGGAAGAATTTTCATTGATGTTATTGGGGAGGTGATGAATATTTTTTACTACATATACTCAAATATTGTCTTTATTCTAAAAAAAATTTGCATATAATTATATAGAATATTCATATAATTTATCATTTTATAAAATTTACAATTTCAATGTGCCACATCAAATTTTTTATTTTATTTTCTCAAATATTACAATGTTAAAATCATAATTCCTGATATGATTTCCACAACTATCAGACTCTCACTTCTTCCAATATTTTTTTTCTCACTCGATATATTTTTAAAATGATTTATAGATTTGTCATAATTCATACTATTTCCTCATTCCTCTCCCATTATTTCACAGACCCTCCCATCACTGTAAATTCCCATCATACTACTCTTATTTTTAATTTTAAAAACTGAGTGATCATGGCGTAAGATAAATAATTTATGATAAGAATAAAAATATTAAATAATATTCTGTTATAAAAAGAATTTAATAACATTTTAAATCTAAATTGTACTTTAGTGGAGAAAATTGTGTACATAATCTTCACCTTGAATCTTAATTATAAAATTAATTTTAATTCTTAATTCTAATTTGATTGTGCAATGTGTATATATTATTTATAATTTAAATTTATTTTTATAAAACATATTTAAATATGTTTTATAAAAACGAAATATGATGTTTCATTTTACCTTTGTAAAATTGTTTTAAATATGGCGATTCAAGGAGAATGAGTTAATTTAAATATGCTTTATAAAATTTGGTTTAGCTTTTAAATTCATTCAATGTGACGTTCTATGAAAATTTTTAAATAATTATTACATTTAACTCATTATTATTAATGAAAAAAAATTAAACACCAATTACTTTAATTTAAAAGTGATTTTCTTACAATAATGTAATTTTATAATTTAACTTATACTCCCTCCGTTTAAAAATATAAGATATTTTTAACCAAATCTCACCCCAATTAAAGTAGCCTGATGGACCCCATGGCATGGGTGACATAGCATTAATGGCAACGAAGCTTGAGAATGGTAATCATGAGCATGGTGACATAGAAGGAGCCCAATACTTCCAATCCAACGTACCTAAAGACCCATTACAACATATTGGAGGTCCAATGACAAGAGTCCGAACTAAAGCCATGAAGCAAGCCTTATTCAGTCTTGTGCAAGAAGTTCAAGAGCTTAGAGAGCATTGGAGCACTCCTCTCAAGCCCAAAGGAGAGTATCTATACGTGTATAATGTATTTAAGATCCAAACTCATGAAAAGTCAAGCCCAAGAGATGCAGACCTTAGCCCAATGCAAGGAAGACTACAAGTTGAGCCTCTTGCAAGCAAGGAGGCATGAAACCCTAGTGAAGAAGTCAAAGGTGGCGTAATTTTAAATCCTTTATGATCCCTTGATTGTCTCCTAACTTATTTCCTATTTTAATGATCCTTTGATTTGATTTTCTATTTTGAATCTAGTCAAAAGTTAGAATTAATTATAGTATTAATTTCTAAATTTTATATTCCCATAATTTTAGGATTACATCTCCTAAATTATGTGGCTGAATATTCTATCATTATTTTATATTATTTCTCCTTTTAGTATTAGGAAATTAGGGTTTTAATTTTAGGAAATATTCTTTTCTACGAGTCTATATAAATTAGGCATGCTCTCTATTGTAAACAACACAAAAGTTGAATGAAATTATTCATTTTAGAGTTTATAACTCTTGTGAGCCTTAGTGCTTTATGGTGGCTTCCCGTGTGAGAAACAGACGTGATCAAGAGTGTGATCAACTCTTGTGGTGTTTTCGCAGGTTGAGGTTCTTAGAGGCAGGTGCTCTAGAGGATCTTCTAATTGATCATTATCCTATTATTTACTTCATATCTTTCTTTATTTCCATCATAAATTTCATCCTTTTCTTTTTGTTCTTGTGTTTTTGTTGTTTCAGGGTTCTATCCCTAAACTGGCATGATTCTGCTTCCGCGTCCCCTATCAAATTAGTATCAGAGCTTTGGTTGCTAGTTTTGGTTTAAATTCTTGTCCTCCTTTCTTCTTTTTCATCTTGAGTTATTTCTTTTTGTGATTATCTCTTATCTACCCCATCTACTTCTATCTTTTGGTTTTTTTCTTCTTCATCTTTGTGACTTTTTATCTTATGTGAGTTTTCATTTTATTAGCCTTCTCAAAAAAAGAGAAAAAAAATATCTAGAAATTCGTGCAAAAAAAAGGCAAAAAAAAGTGTTAGTGTGTTGAGAAAAAAAAAAAGAGAGAAAAAAATCCGAAAATTCAAAAAAAAATTAACAAAAAAAATATTGCTGTGAGTTATAACTGTAGAAAAAAGCTATTCTTGAACTTCAAGTCACCAAGAGGTTTCCTAAAGAGAAAAGTCAACTTGGTGATAAGAAAGTCTTATACGTTGATCACTTTCTTATTTTTAATTTTTGGTAGCACTTTTCAAATTCTCTACTCTCTTATTTGCTATTTGTGCTACTCTCTTATGTTATTTAGTTTTCTATTTTTGTCTTTGAGTATTTGACTCTTTGACTTTTATTTCGTTCTTTCTTATTTTTGTTGTCACATGTGGTTTTTCCTTTCACAAGCTTAATTTCTATTTGTTTCAAAATTACAAAAAAAAAATCCTCTTTTCATCTTGTGCTTGTTTTCTAGTTTCTTAATTTAGAAGATATTCACTTGATTGTTTCTTAGTTTCTTAATTTGTGTTTGGTTTCACCATTGGATTCTATCCACAAGCTTTGTGAGTGATAAAAGGCAAGTATGTTTTTCATCATTAAAAAAAAAGAGCCATTAATTTTTTTTTTGTAAAACACGAGTGACTTTATTTATCTTGAGAGTAAACACGTGAGTTTGCGTGTGTGAGGACCTATTTTTATCTTATATGGTTTCTAGTGCTTCTGTGAACATGAGTAATAAGAATGAATCCCCTAGTATTGATATGAACTCTGTTTTAGAACTTATCAAAACACAGTTACAGCAGTTTTGCTTGGAACTTGATCATAGGTTCCATAAAGAGGATAAAGATGAGCCGGAGACTTCTTCTTCTAAAGAAAAGAAGCATAAGATCCCCAGCGATAATGAGGAGTATGAAGAACCCCCTTCTCCTAAGGGAAAGAAATCCTTAAAGCGTGGTGTTAACTTATCGAACCAAAAAGTAAAGTATCCTTCATTCAAAAGTAGCAACAATCCAGAAAAATACCTTGATTGGGAAATGAAGATAGACCAAATCTTCATGACTCTTGATTTGTCTGAGTTAAGGAAGGTAAAAACTACTTCTTTAAATTTCACTGACTATACTATTTATTGGTGGCAAGATTTGCAGTACAAAAGAAGCCAACTTGCGAAAAAACCCATTAAAACATGGGAGAAGCTTAAAAGGTACTTGAGAAAGGTTTATGTCCCTAGCTACTACTACACAGAGCTGAATAGAAAATTGAGAATGTTTTCTCAAGGATCTATGATAGTAGAGGAGTATGTGCACGAGTTGAATATCTTGAAGTTTTGTGCAAACATTCAAGAAAATGAATGTGAAGCAATGTCAAGAATTATGGATGGTTTGAGGCTAGAGTTGAGAGATAAGCTTGACTTGTACACTTTTGTGGACAAGGAAGAGCTCATACACAAGGCTATAAAGTTGGAGCAGAGAAATAAGAACAAACGTTCCAAATCCTCTTGGAAAGACTCCAAGACAACTTCCAAATGGAAGGATTCCTAAGCCAAAGATACATCCTAAGCCAAGGAAGAAATAAAGACCAACTATGAGGGTAAAACTTCTAAACCTAAACCTTCTTCTTATTTATCTAACACTTCTCCTATTAAGTGTTTCAAATGTCATGGTGTGGGTCACATGGCGAGAGATTGTAACAATAAAAGGGTTATGACCTTGAGAGATGATGGTGGCTATGATAGTGTGCATGAAAGTGATAAAGATGATGCTGATAATGTTGATATGATTCTACCTCCCATGAATCAAATGATGAGCTTGAATGCAATGATGTAGTTGACTCTATCTTAGTGGCAAGAAGAGCTCTCAATATTCAACCAAAGGAGGATGATAAGCATGAGCAACGCGAGCATATTTTTCACACTAGATGCTTCATCAAAGAGAAAGTATGTAGCATGGTAATTGATGGTGGTAGTTGCACTAACGTCGCTAGCACTTTACTTGTAGATAAATTATCTTTACCTTTAATTCCACACCCTAAGCCCTACAAATTACAATGGTTGAATGATTTTATTGAAATTAGGGTTTCTAAGCAAGTGTTGATTACTTTCTCTGTTGGAGTTTATACTTGTGATTTATTATGTGATGTAGCCCCTATGCTTGCTGGACACTTGTTATTAGGTAGGCCTTGGTAGTTTGATAGTAAGGCTACTCATAATGGTTTTAGAAATTGTTACAAGGTGCCTTTTAAAGGCAAAACTATTGTATTAAATCCTCTTAGGCTCATCCAAGCCTATGAAGATCAACTAAAGATTATTCAAGATTACAAGTAAAGGAGAGATCTCCTTGATTGTGGCATGAGTGAGAGAGAAAAGAAAGAGAGTATTACTTTACTTGAAAATCAATCAAAAGAGAGGAAAAAGAGTGGTAAGAAGGTGAGAAAAGAAAAAATAGAATGGTGGGAGTGAAGGAAAATAGTGAAAAGAAAATATTATTGTGTGGGAAAAGTAAGATTCAAGAGGCTTTGATGAGTGAGCAAGCCTTTATTGTAATTCCCAAGAATATTTATTTTTCTACTAATACTTTTGACCCCACTTTGCCTTCTAGTGTTGTCTCTTTGTTGCAGGATTATAGAGATCTATTCCTTGATGAAATTCCTGATAGACTTCCTCCCTTAAGAGGAATTGAGCATAGGATAGATTTCTTGCCTGGAGCTGCTATTCTAAACAAGCCTGCTTATAGGGCTAACCCTGAAGAGACTAAGGAGATCCAGCGCCAAGTAGAGGAATTGATAATGAAAGGCTTTGTGCGTGAGAGCCTTAGCCCTTGTGCTGTCCCTATTATCTTGGTGTCAAAAAAAGACGGATCTTAGAGGATGTGTATTAATTGTAGAGCAATCAACAAAATCACTGTAAAGTATCGTTACCCTATCCTTGGACTTGATGATATGCTTGATGAATTGCATGGTGCTTTTATCTTTTCTAAAATTGATCTTAGAAGTAGTTATCATCAAATTAGTATGAAAGAGGGTGATGAATGGAAAACTGCCTTTAAAACTAAATTTGAATTATATGAATGGTTAGTTTGCCTTTTGGTTTGACTAATGCTTCTAGCACTTTTATGGCATTAATGAATCATGTTTTTAGAAAGTTTATAGGCAAGTTTGTTGTGGTTTACTTTGATGATATTCTGATTTATAGTAAATCTTTGACTGATCATATAAGTCATCTTAAAAATGTGTTCGACATCTTGAAGGAATATAAGCTATATGCTAATTTTCAAAAGTGTTTCTTTTACATGGACTTTGTTATCTTTTTGGGATTTGTTGTTAGATTACAGGGAATTCGTGTAGATGAGGAGAAAGTTAAGGCTATTCGTGAATGGCCAACCCCTCAGAATGCAAGTGAAGTGAGAAGCTTCCATGACTTAGCAAGCTTCTATAGGAGATTTGTTAGGTATTTCTCAGCATTGCTGCCCCTCTTAATGAACTTGTTAAGAAGAATGTGACATTTAAATGGGGTGAAACACAAGAAAGGGCTTTCCAAACCCTAAAGGATAAATTGACTAATGCCTCTTTACTTGTTTTGCCTAATTTCTCTAAAGCATTTGAAATTTAATGTGATGCTTCTGGTATTGGTATAGGTGCTGTTTTAATGTAGGATTCTAAGCCTATAGCTTACTTCAGTGAAAAGCTTCACGGCATAGCTTTGAATTATTCCACCTATGACAAAGAGCTTTATGCTCTAAAGAGGGCCTTAGAAACATAACAACATTATTTGTGGCCCAAGGAATTCATCATTCATTCTGATCATGAAAGTTTAAAGTTTATCAAGTCTCAAGGTAAGTTAAACAAGAGACATGCTCGCTGGATGAAATTTATTGAAACCTTTACTTATATGATTAAGCATAAGCAAGGTAAAGATAATGTCATTGCTGATGCCTTATCTCGAAGGTATACATTACTTTTTTATTTGCATGCTCAATTACTTGGTTTTGAGATTCTAAAAATTTTTTATAAAACTGATCTTGATTTTGAAAATATTTGGAAATCTTGTGAAAATCATGGATCCGGTGATTTCTTTATATTTGATGGATTTCTTTTTAAGAAAAATAAATTATGCATTCCTATTTGTTCTATGCGTGAGTTGCTTACTAAGGAAGCACGTAGTGGTGATTTGATGGACACTTTGGTGTAGAGAAAACTTTGGCTATTTTGTCTGATCATTTCTTTTGTCCTCACATGTAGAAAGATGTCATATCTGTTTGTGATAAATGCATTAAATGTAGACAAGCAGAATCTAAGGTCCAACCTCATAGGCTTTACTCTCCTTTACTCGTCCCCTCTCACCCTTGGGAACATATCTCTATGGATTGCCTAAATCTTCTGCAGGCAAAGATTCCATATTTGTTGTTGTTAATAGGTTCTCTAAGATGGCACACTTTATTGCTTGTGCTAAGACTAATGATTCTATTAAGATTACTAACTTATTCTTTAAAGAGATTGTTCGTTTGCATGGTTTACCTAAGACTATTGTAAGTGACAGAGATATGAAGTTTCCTAGTCATTTTTGGCGTACCCTATGGCATAAATTAGGGACTAAGTTACTTTTTTTCACTACTTCCTATCCACAAACTGATGGTCAAACTGAGGTAGTTAACAGAACTATGACTACACTATTAAGAGCAATAATTCAGAAGAATTTGAAGAATTAGGTGAATTGTTTACCTCATATTGAATTTGCTTACAATAGGTTGTTCATTCTTCTACTTCTTATTCTCTATTTGAAATTATTTATGGTTTCAATCCATTATGTCCTATTGATATTTTACCTTTGTCTTTCTCTGAGCTTGCTAACACTGATGGCAAGAAAAAAGCTAAGTTTATGCAGGACTTACATGCTAAGGTTAAAGCAAACATAGAGCGAAACAATGAGCAATATGCCAAGCAAGCTAATAAAGGCAGGAGACGTGTAATCTTTGAGCTTGGAGATTGGGTTTGGTTACATTTAAGGAAAGAGAGATTTCCTAATCAAAGGAAGTCCAAACTTCAAGCTCGAGGAGATGGACCTTTCCAAGTTTTGGAAAGAATTAATGATAATGCTTACAAGATTGATTTTCCTAACTCTTATGGCAATGTTAGTGCCACATTTAATATTTCTGATTATCTTTATATGATTCTGCAGATTCAAGGACGAATCCTTTCCAACTGGGAGGGAATGATGGACACCATGGCACGGGTGACATGGCATTAATGGCAATGAAGCTTGAGGATGGTAATCATGAGCATGGTGATATAGAAGGAGCCCAATACTTCCAATCCAACGTACCTAAAACCCATTACAACATATTGAAGGTCCAATGACAAGAGCCCGAACTAAAGCCATGAAGCAAGCCTTGTTCAGTTTTGTGCAAGAAGTTCAAGAGCTTAGAGAGCATTGGGACACTCCTTTCAAGCCCAAAAGAGAGCACCTATACGTGTATAATGTATTTAAGATCTAAACTCATGAAAAGTCAAGCCCAAGAGATGCAGACCTTAGCCCAATGCAAGGAAGACTACAAGTTGAGCCTCTTGCAAGCAAGGAGGCATGAAACTCTAGTAAAGAAGTCAAGGGTGGCGTAATTTTAAATCTTTATGATCCCTTGATTGTCTCCTAACTTATTTCCTATTTTAATGATTCTTTGATTTGATTTTTATTTTGAGTCTAGTCAAAGGTTAGAATTAATTATAGTATTAATTTTTAAATTTTGTAATCCCATAATTTTAGGATCACATCTCCTAAATTATGTGGCTGAATATTTATCATTATTTTATATTATTTCTCCTTTTAGTATTAGGAAATTAGGGTTTTAATTTTAGAAAATATTTTTTCTATGAGCCTATATAAATTAGGCATGCTCCCTATTGTAAACAACACAGAAGTTGAATGAAATTTTTCATTTTAGAGTTTATAACTCTTGTGAGCCATAGTGCTTTATGGTGGCATCCCGTGTGAGAAACAGACGTAATCAAAAGTGTGATAAACTCTTGTGGTGTCTTCAAAGGTTGAGGTTCCTAGAGGCAAGTGCTCTAGAGGATATTCTCCTTGATCATTATCATATTGTTTACTTTATACCTTTCTTTATTTCTGTCATAAATTTCGTCCCTTTCTTTTTGTTCTTGTGTTTTTGTTGTTTCAGGGTTCTGTCCCTAAACTGGCACGAGTTGTTTCCGCGTCCCCTATCACAGCCTATAATAAATATAAAATCATTATCAATAAATTTTAAAACAAAGGCAAGGATTACCCCTTAAAAAATTAAAAATATTACATTTTTTAATATTTAACTCTTCAAAAAATGCCGTATATTTTTAAACGGAGCGAGTATATTGTTATTTATTTAAATCAATATTTATTATTTCAGCGACGGGACACATACTATTGTATGAATTATTGAGAAACATAATAATTCACTGCTAAGACCACCGCCATTTTAGGAGGAATTTTTATATTTTAATAACGATATTTTAATGACTTTGCATTAAAACTTATTTTTTAATTACTTCGCATCATTCTCACTAGTTTTTTTTTATAGGTAGCTTTTCCAAAATAATTTTTTACTCTCTAAAATATAAATGGTCCAAAATCATTTATGTTATTTTACATTCATATAATTTTTGAGGACGATTGAGCCTCATCATTCTGATGGTCCTCGTCCATTTTGACAACGGTAGAAACTCCGATAAACTTGACCATGATCAGAAACCCATCGAGAAGGCTACAAGT